GTAAAGTCCTACATCTTTTTAAAACCATTGAACAATATGAGTGTCTAAACTAAATATAAATTACTCTTAGTTTCTCGGGGTTGGAGATCCTTTAAAAATTTATATATTTAACCTGATTTTCATCACACTTTTTCCAATTTTTACTATTTACATTTTAAATCTAAATTTACATTGGACTCTTCTACATTAACATACATGCCAAGTTTCATAAAGATCGGTTCTAACAATCTAAAGATAAAAATGTATACTAAAATAAACGAAATGGCGGATATCTCGTTAACAAACTTTCGGAACAATTTTTATTCTCGAATTTTCTTCATTTTGACCCAAGAAATCACTCTGTTAATTGTCTCCCCCTTTCTTGAACACCCTGTATATTACTGTAAATTTATACTAACCGGTTCCTCTTTGCGAGTAGTAAGTGCGCCGCGACACCCGTATTGGCGACTTTTCGTGCATCGCCACCGAATAGAATGTATATTCGTTTGTTGCTTGCTGTAAATATATCCGTGTACGTACAAGTTAGTTTGGCCTGCCAAACCGGTTAACACCTGTAGCTCGCATGCCATACCGAACTGATGTGACTGTGTAGAAGGAGACTCACTTGCCATACCGAACTGATCTGACTGTGTAGAATGAGACTCACTTGTCATACCGAACTGATCTGACTGTGTAGAATGAGACTCACTTGCCATACCGAACTGATCTGACTGTGTAGAATGAGACTCACTTGTCATACCGAACTGATCTGACTGTGTAGAATGAGACTCACTTGCCATACCGAACTGATCTGACTGTGTAGAATGAGACTCACTTGCCATACCGAACTGATCTGACTGTGTAGAAGGAGACTCACTTGCCATACCGAACTGATCTGACTGTGTAGAAGGAGACTCACTTGCCATACCGAACTGATTTGACTGTGTAGAAGGCGACTCACTTGCCATACCGAACTGATCTGACTGTGTAGAATGAGATTCACTTGCCATACCGAACTGATTTGACAGTAAATAAGGAGACTCACTTGCCATACCGAACTTATCTGACTGTGTAGAAGGCGATTCACTTGCCATACTGAATACCGAACTGATCTGCATGGGTCCGATCTGCATGGGTATGTGACTACTCACTTGCCATACCGAACTGATCTAACTGTGAAGGAGACAACCATCGAGGCAACTCACTTGCCATACTATACCGAATACCGAACTGATCTGACTGGGTAGGAGAACGAAACTGAGCACTGAACTGAGGGTAGGGCAGCCTTCCATACGCGTGCATTGGATAATCCCATGAATAATGGCCTGTTTGGCCTCTCCCTCCCGGAACTTGAGGGGTTGCCATCGCTAGAGTGGGTGGGGGGTAAAGAGAGACAGAAGACGGAGAGTGAGAGAGAGGAAGCTAATCGTGAGTGGGATGGTTGGGGGGAGAGAGGGTGAAGAAGTGCGTTGCCCGACGTTCCATGACACAATTCCCTACAACTGCTCGACGTCCAACTACATTATCACCAATTATCACACAATTTGATGTACGGAAATTGTTTTTAGATATCAGTGAAAAACCACTTTCACGTTTTTCTAGTATCCTGTTTACTCCAGCGACCACAGAATTAAAATTTGTCCAATTTCCGAATTTTACTCCGATCTCTTGTTTTGGTATTGCATTGTGCTTGGTTTCGTAAACAAAAAATATATAATAGGTTTTTCTGTTTCAATTACTGGCATTGTTTTATTTATCTTTGCAACGGTTTATGAATTTACTAAACAGATCGCAAACAAAAAATTGTTAATATAGTTTTTAAAATTACTTCTACAGTATAGGGAGGAAGCTTTTGCCGTATGTGACATTGTTATTTTTTATTTGGAGTACGTGCATCAGAATTATTGGGCATGATCGGGCTAGCATTTACGAGGTGAAATTGAGAACCCTTCAAACATATTTAAGTTTAAAAACAAAGGGTTAAACATTGATGCGTTGTTGCATGCTTATCGCTTACAGAGAAAAGTGTACATTAATAACAATGGTACTTATGGTGAACAAGCATTTGTAGTAGTAGGAGGACATCCTCCTAGTTGTAGTATACTTCTTTATACTGTAACCATAATATTTACCCACTTCTACGTCATTGAAACATGCTTGAATCAAGATTGAAATACAATTCTGAAACCAAGTATTTGATGCGATGATAAGTCTTCATTAAAAAGTACATTAACCAAGCGAAAACATTTTAATATTCGTATACATTTAAATGATGCGGATTAACGTCCGCACTTGTGAGTACTACGACTCTACAGTGCTATCCTGATAATTATAATTAGACCAATTCGTTAGTTACAAGGCAAAAATGTGGTTCGGATTCCACTATAAACTGGAGGTCTCTTAGTCGTCATTGACTGTATGGGGTTATTAATTAGGGGACCAGCTGTGTTTTCATCCTTCACTCATCTCCATTCATACTTGGCTTAAAATACCCACACTAGTATGGTAGCAATTTCATATAATTAAAGTAATATTATGCCATAGGCACATACCGTAATTCTTAAATTGCAGTGACATAGCTTAATTGTATTACTTCTATGATTAAAGATAAATTGTTATTTTAAAACTAAAACAAGAAAATTCACTCACCTCTCTGCCAGTAGTCAGAGCTCCTTTACAGTGCGTTGTCTTGTGATGTGCACATCGCCAACGAATAGTAATTAAACTAGTTTGTTTCATGCTGTACATGTATCCGTCTAGAGACAAGAGAGTTTGGCCTCTCAAGCCTTGGATTACTTCTGGCACTCCGACCATGTTACCGAACCGACCTCGTTGGGGGCGAAAACAATACTGAAACCGAAGGGAGCGAGTGTGGGGCTGAGTGCCAGTTGTGTGACGAGGGTCATATTTCAGCGGCCGGTGCGAGTGCCAACCACGTGACCGGTTCCACGGTGCGCCGGCGCGGCCTTTGTGGGGGCGGAAAGGTCGGGGGGGGGGGGGTTAAGTAAAACTTGTTTGAGGGATTAAATGAAATTTTTTTGGCCGAAGCACAGAAAACGTACGTGGCCGGAGGCAGTTTGACGGGATGTGGAAATTCAACAAAATTGTTCGGCTGTTAAATTACATCAATGTATTTATTTAATCTGTTATTGCTGTTAAATATTTAAATATTTACATGTTTTTTTTTTTATAGGCCTATTCGTTTGTAAATTATTTATTGTTATTTATTTGTTCATTGTTATTTATTTGTTCATTGATATTTATTGTATTGTTGCGAGTGTATACATTGTAATATTATTTCTTCGGCAAGATGAACGTAAACTATCTATATATTAATAGTATTTATTATTTTAATGCATTTCAAGCAATGTTTTGTAATACATTAATACTGCAAGCAATTGGACTAGACCTGTTTTGTAGCATTTGAATGAAATAAATAAAATAAATACCCCCACCGCAGCAAACATGCAGACTAAGAGAATTTTAATTTGTCTGATTGTATTTACACTGAAATGTTTACTTAATATCACATTTATTCCCTATTTAAATAGAATTAGTTCAACGAGTACTTAGGTTTGCTGCAACAGAAAAACTAAAAAGGATTTTTTATAAAATGTTAATAGTTTAATAAGAAATAAATGCATTTAAAAATTTTTATCAAAGTATGTTCATAAACAAGCAAACTACAACAGCTTACTTATTCTCCATAAGAATATCATTGGAATTTTCTCCGTAACCATTAGGCGCATATTAATGACGCTTAAATATACTAAATTATTTGTTTTTGCTATACAAAATGGTTTGGGAAAAATGCTAAATTGGATTTTTGTTTTGTCAGAAATGGGAAAACCCAAATTTTACCCCATAAACCCCCTTTCCCATAGTCCGATCATGCCAGTTCGCGAACTCGTTCGAATAACTGTAGGTTTAAACGTTTACTCCAAATTTCATCAAAATCGGTTCATTTGCTCGAGATAACGTGCTAACGGACACACACACACACACACATACTTTGATAGAAAAATTCACACAAAGTTGAATTAACTACGCTGTTTATTATTAATATGTTTATAAATACAAACATTGGAATACAATTATTGACAATACTTATTATGTGCGACTACGGTCCAATATTAATTTTAAACAGTCAGTGAATAATTGTCCCTAACTTACTTTGCAATTTTCCCGTGTGGTTCTGTTGATACTTGTGTTAAATCGATAGTTCTAGTTCGTTCAAAAACTGCATCTGCAAGGCCACGATTCTAATACATATTTACATACTACGACAAGGATATAAAAAAAGTATTAAGTCCTTAGATTGATAGAAAACATAGGTAAACCAATAAATTTTAAAATGCCGATCGAATAAATCACCTTCATCACAATCGCTTACACAAAGTTTCAACACAAATCGCTACTGTAAAACATAAAATAATGTAGTCAAACCAATACTTAAATTAATATAACGTCAACTTCAAGGTTATGCTTTGTATGTTTCGTTTTGAAAATACTGTAAATGATTCGTGATTTTAAACAGACTCAATAACCACCAAAAACGATTACAGTAATAGTTAGAGTGAAACTTGACAGAGAGTTCAAGGTCAAGATTAACTTTAGAAGTCAAAATTGTATACTTGACATGACTACTATTTAGGACTTTCTCCTCTCTTTTGTCTCGCATGGTTACACGAAAGGTTATTGCCCTTCTAGGGGTTTTACGTTTCCTGTCTTGGCAATCCCTGACCACCCCTCTCCCTTGCAGGAAAAAAACAGGGTCTCTACTAACCAACTTGACAAATTACGACTCATCCGAGGCAGGGAAATATCCCAACTGACGCGACGCGCTAGCCAGATGTTTTTGGAAATTATCAAACCTCTTCTATCGCACGAAAATTGCAACCATTACAAATAATGCCATGCATATTAATCATCCTACATATACAGATACTGTAGGCTTACACACATTAATTATCTAAATTATTAACTAAATGTACAATTAGTCTAAGTTTGTGTTTGCTCACCCACTCTGGTGATTGAATTTCATCAACGCTGTAGTTTTCGACACCATCTTCGTCTTCATCTGATTCTAGTTCGCCGCATTCGATTTTAACACTAGGTTCGTCTTTATCAGCTGATTGTACTCCACTCTCATTGTTGACATTTTCGACTAAATCAGCTGATTGTACTCCACTCTCATTGTTAACATTTTCGTCTAAATCAGCTGATTGTACTTCACTCTCATTGTTGACATTTTCTTCCAAATCAGCTGATAATTTTTTGCCACTCATTATCTCGTGGTTGACACCATGACGTTTCTTCCAGCGTGCCAACCATCCGTCACTCGCAACAAACTTTCCTCCTTCCAGCTCCAAATGTAACTCACTCGCCTTTTCCTTCAGCATCGGACCGTTGATCGGCGTACCTCTCCGCCCTTCTTTGACGAACCATTGCCACAAAGCCTCGTCCACCAGCTCGTGTGTAGGTTTCCTGCAGGTGTACCTTATCGTAGATAACACTCGCCGGGATGTAACCTGGTTGTAGAAGTCCACTATCGACTGTTTGTTGCGTTTCCAGTCTTTCACAGTGCTCAATCCGACACCCAACTCCTCGCTGACTTTCCTGGCAGATTCTCCTTTGGCAAGTCGTTCCAACGCTTCCAATTTGTGTTGTACGGTGACGACGACTCTTTTCCGTTTAGCACTCATTTTGTAGCGTTTACGGGCGAACACGATCACCAGAACTGTTTTAGAATAACCACTAAGTTAAAACTAGCACTTCACAGACCTCCAAAACATTGTTAACACCACACAAGTAGAACTACTGACTGTACAGCAGATAAAGACGACTCTACCACACGATAACGAAACTTCCCACCGAGTGTGAGAACCAACAACCAACTGAGTTTACACAAGTGGTCCCACATCCGGCCCGGTTGTCCGTTATCGATCGTGGCGGGGAGGGGAGGGGGGAGCGCCGGATGTAAGCGTTCAAGGTCGGTTAATGCGCGGTCGGATAACGGAGCGCACACACTAGCGTGCCACAGACACTTATCAGGTTCGGAAACTAAATAAGTCAATACTGTATTTACATTTCAGCATCAACAGAAAGTAAATACGTAAAAACTTAAATTAAAAGCTCGGAAAAACGTTGTAAACAATCTGGAAACATCATACTCGTCTTTCTACAATAATCAAATTACCAACATTTCATGTGCACAATTTTGTCAGATTTTGGAGCAGTGACAACTTTTGAGTACACTACCTTAAGAGACAAATATAAATAGATTAGACCACTAGACCACAGAGTAGAAAAATAAACAGTAAAGGCGGGTCCACTAGTTTAAATTTTTATGTTATTTATCTGTGCTCTGTGATTGTACAAGTAAAATAATTTATAAATCATTACATAAGTTTACAACGGTTACATAAGGTTACTCACATCTTCTAAGGCCGTGACTATATAAGCCTTACAGTCTTTTAACTTGTGATGGTGACAAATCCATCGCCATGTCATCGCGTTGGGTTTAGGCCTTCTCTTGGTGTAGGAAAAATCTCCGTAGTAACATATCATAGCCTTCCTCAACCCAACGACAAACCATGGCTCCTCCATGACACCACGAATCACAACGAAACCGCCACAAAAATCCGCCGCGGATTCAACCAGTACGCTCAAGGTCAGGGCTCGGACTGAGTTGAGATTGGAGACTGACGCGATAAATCAGCTGTTGGAATCCAATATGGCGTCGTGCGGATTAAGTAGCGCGCGCGACTAAAGCCTTCCCTCCCCCTACCCTCAACCACCTGGACTGAGGCATTACAGCTGTAGGGAGATGGGATAAGTACAGTCCACTCACCATGTACAGTCACTGCAGCAAACACAGCCCTTCTGCTTCAGAAATGACAGTGAATAGCACAAGTATAAAAGACGGCAATCACACACTACACACTTTTATACTGTAGACAGAAACTAGTAAGGAATCAGAGAGAAAAACTTTCACGCACCCTGTTTAATATCTATCCTTGTTTTTATATTGTTTTGCGTTTGGTTTTGGGAAGGAAATATATAACAACATAGGTTTGTTTTCATTTTTCATTTTCATTTATGTTCATTTTATTTTATTTATTCATTCCAACGGACACACCATTTACAAAATAATATATTTAAGGACATGAGTAGAATGAAAAGATCAAAATTGCATTTGAAATAACAAGAGAAGCTGCATATAGGCTACCATTGAACAAAACATAATTGCAACAAAAAGTAATACAACAACATAGCAACGAACAAAATAACAGATAATAACATTAACAAAGTAAAATAACAACAAACAGACAACATGACAGATAACGGATAGTAAAAAAAAAAAAATTATATTAATTTGGATTTCAGAAAATGCATGTAGACTTTGAAAGTATAGCAACAACAGATACTGTAATATATATAATTATCTGTAATTATCTGTTTGTGTTGGGTATGTTTAATTCATTATTATTGTTTTATTCTTCTTTGCAACCCTTTTGTACATTTACCAAATATATTTTAAAAATACTATAATTTTCAAATCAAGATTTTAAGCAAATATCTTATATAGCGAAGAAGTTATTACTCTAGGTGACATGGTAAGAACACAAAATTAAGAAAGCATACTTTTGCCAATTTAATGTCTCTATGTCGTACAAAAATATATTTTCAATAAATATTATATACACGTATAAAATATGTGTGAGCGTGTCCATGGGCACGATAGGCCTTAACTCGAGGAAAATTATATGAATTCTATGACATTTTGTGCAAACCTGTTAAGCGTCCGGCACCTATAGGGGGTTGAGTATGCACTGAAAGTGTAACGCATTTTGACTTTTGATTGTTGTTGGGGGCACATTGGAGATGACCAAAAGCGATGTTGCCGCCCTCCCAGCAGGTGCACAACCTAGGGGGAGGGGGGCAAACATGGGGGGGGGGCGCTATGCGTTAAAACGCAGATATCTCCGAAATGGTAAAAGATAGAACATCGGTTAAAACGTCGTTTTAATCTAAAAAATGTGGTTAACAATAAAGGTCTTAGGTCCGAAGTCGTATCTTGACTAATAAACGAGTTATAAACTAAAACATGGAATTACGAGATACTTGGATAGCTTTTTTAACAAAATAAGAATTAATTTGTGAGTGTTTTAAGGAAGAGTAACCAAATATTTATGCTGATCATTGTACTATGGACTGCTGGGATGACCAAAACCGATGTTGTCGCCCTCTCAGCAGGTGCACAACTTAGGGGGGAGGGGGGAAAGTACGGGGGGCGCGCTCTAAAGAATCGCTCATAACTCGCGGACTAGACTCGATAGAAACATGCTATAAACGGCATTCTATTAAAACAAATAGCTAAACATTGAAGCGTTAATGTATGCTTATCGGTTACTGAGAAAGAGAAATGTATATACCTACATTTGTAGGAACAATGATATTTTTATGGTGAACAAGTAGTTGTTGTAGTGTACTTGTTTGAATATATAATAGTTTACCAATTTCTCAGTCATTTGAATATGCAATTCCGAAACCAAGTATTTTATGCAAATGATAAGTCTACATTAAAAGCACAGAAAGCTAAAAGGCACATTACCAACGATTAAATTTTAATATAAGCATAGAATTCCTATTTTGCAGTGATATAGTTTAATGATCGGAGAAATTGACTATTTGAAAATTAGAACACGGACCCTCTCTTTGCAAGTAGTCGGCGCGCCTTTACAGCCTAATTATTTACACATCGCTAACGAATTAGTGAATTAGTATTTTTTCTCCTGTAAATGGTATGATTACTATTGCCAATCCTTCGAAATAGGGCACTCGCGTCCCCAATAATTCCCGGAATTCCCTAGAGATACCCGTGGGATGGCCACCGAGAATTGACATGAAGGGACGCACAATCGGATACCAACGTCATTACAGTCTGTATGATGGAACCTGTCTTATGTGTGATCCTTCGTCTACACGGGACAGACCTGAGCCATTGGCCATGTCCCAAGGTCAGAAGACAGGTTTCGTCATACATACTATACCGTTACTTGAAGAAACGGATAATTAGATTAGCTGTTTAAATATTAAATCGTTTTAATTGTTTTTTGTGAAATCCCTCATAGTAAAGTAGTTATCACCAGGACGGTAAGACATAGACCCGGGATAGATTTGCTTTTCCATGTTGATGTCCCCCACTCCCCAGAGGAAAAAATCACTATCTGGATCCGTTCAAATTCACACACACACACACACACACACACGTACATACGAGGGGGGAGGCGTGTTAGTTGCGCCCACGTGACCTTCACTAATCCGGTTAGGGTGGGCCAAGCCTAGACGGCTTGAACAATAGATCTCTGGAAATTGTAAAGAGCAACGAAAAACCCCAGTCAACCGAAATAATCCTAACAAAGAAGGGGCTTCTGAGTGAGTTAAAAGTTGGAGTAGCATGTGATATTGTAGTTGTGAAACTTGAAATCAAAAAAGCTGTTTTTTACGTGTTCAATACACAGATGCGTAAGAATAAAAACTCACCGCTCCCATCAATCTTGACTTGCACCGTGCTTTCCTCATAGAGTTCTTTATGTAGGAAATATCTGTCTTCGTCAAAGTGTTCAATGCTTCTTCGTTGCTCTTGATCTCCTTATTTATTAGTTGTCCCGGTCGCTCCTCCAAGTTCTCCAAAGCTTTCCTTTTCACAATGTTACGAATTTTATCACGCATTAACACACTTTTGTCCACCGGTTCATGCTGGTGCGCACCGGCCTCCCTTGAAAGAGTGTCACCATTGTCCACAGTGTATACCCTAGCAGTACAGTTTTTTACAGTGCATCTCCAAATATCTTCGTTGGTTGTGGTACAGTTACGAACAAATCTAAACTTGAAACTATTAAGGATAATAAGGGGTTTCCCCTTTTCACTTAAACATTTTTCCATCGTCAAAGATACAAGATACTAAACACTTCGAACAACGAAAACTAAATTTAACGCAATTCAATACGACGTAACGTTAAAAAAATAAATCACTTTACAACTTCATCGATGTACGTTGTACGGTATAGTTACTCACTAGTCACTAGATCGTTGACTAGATCGCGCTCGGCTCACGGCTGGGGAAAACTGTCCACCCTCCCCACCGCGCCGCTCCCCCCCCCCCACAAGTGGGGTACGGAGCGGCCCACAGATTTTAGCCAAATGGGTTGCAGCTGTAATTGTCACCCACCTTTGTCAACATATGGGCGCAATTAACCTACCTTGGGCTCACCATATTCATAGGCACAACTACAACCTTATGTGGCTACCTAACCTAACTAACTTACCTTATGTGGCCCAAGAGTCATTAATGGCGCGACTAACCTACCCAACACACATAATTTCGAAACCCACTTTTTTGGGTTCAGGGGGAACCTAACGGATCACACCCGAAACTCATCGAGAATAATTACGTAAACAATACTTATTCCATATTTATTGGGAAATTTAAAAAATCAAACAAAAAACAATCGGTATTTGCAAAGCTACACAAGAGCGAACATCGATAGTTGATGTTTTTGGTACAGATACATTAAACGATGTTAATATCGTCGAACTCGAACATCGATTTTTTTTGGCCAAGAACATATTGATGTATTTCATGACTGAATTGTATTACTGTAGTTAGTTGTAAGGTTAGCTGTTGCAGTACAGAGTTCCGATTCATCGATGTTTTCGCGACGATGTTAGGTACATCGATTGTTGACCTATCGATGCTCATCCCTACACTTGTACGCACACCGAGTAGAATTATACTCGCAACCCTCGCAACTAACTTGCGGAAGAGTTTATTAGATTATAAATTACAATCCTAGGCCCTACCTAGTGATAATATTTTTCCTCTCTACTACACGATAACTTCGACTAACCGGTTGGCGAGAGTTCGCGCGCTGACGATGTATGCGAAGATCCCTCTTGATGGTGTCCACACTGCCCAGTTGACCTTTGACCTCATCAGGTGTCCCGTGCAGAGTGCTGGCCAGAACTAGCAGAGGTCCATCACTCGAACTCATCGACACTTCTCGTAGTTGTAAACGCATCTTGGCAACTTCCTTGGCTACCTTGTTAGGAGGGTGGCTGTGTTCCGTGAGGTTGGTAGGGTTCAAATACTGAAAAGTTTAGTTAGTTTAAATCGACTTTTTTTATGAAGTAACTATATTTAATAGTTAGGCTATGTGTCAACAGCTTGAGTATTTTTAAAATTCAGTTTAAGGTTTTATTACACTATAAATAGAACTAGATATTCTATTTTCATGTTAAAATGTTAGCCAGTTTAGGTTTGGGGTTTGGTTTTTTCAAATGCATCGATTACAACCAACCGATTGTATCGAAAGTAGCGGTTGTTTCGATTGTTTTCAATCGATTTTAGTTCATTGTTGACGGCTGGATTCAAATGTTTGCAAATAGTCAATGGTTGAATGATAAAAGATGGGCGACACAGGGAAAAGTTGATTGTACTGAGCCCATAATTTACGTAAAGAATTGGCATATCAATAGTTCGACACATCGATATCTAATAAGATAATGGACACAAACACAATCGTAATATACAAAATGATCAATTAGTAGTTCTGTACAAGCGATATTCTAAAAACTTAATATTTAACAAAATTTCACTGTGATAAGAAACCGCTCCAGCTGGGGCCCATTTCATAATAAAGTACAAACTAATATTATTAGTAAATCAGCTGATCGCCCAATGCAAATCTTATGGAAATTACAAGTTACAAGTTGTAACTTGTAACTTGTAGTTTATTATGAAATGGGCCCCTGGTTGTGAAATTATTGCTTACATCTTAAGTGTTATAAATGTAAAAAACTAAGGTTGAATTTCATTTTACCAATCAAATACAACCGTTCTAGATTAAATCTATCGATAAAAATACACTTACCGGTGGTCCTTTCGATGTTGTCACTGCACCTTTACACATGAAATGAGCTCTCTTAGCACAACGCCAACGCACAGAACCCGCACTTTTTTTTGACTTGCTGTAAATGTATCCGTCTAAATATAGGTTACATTGGCCAAGTAATCCAGTAATTAATTCACACACTCCGGCCTCCATAATATGACGGTTGCTCGGTAGGATACGTAATCATAAAAAACGTGGAGTTTAAAACGCTACACACCCCTCCAAAGTCCAGACTACACTACTGTCCGTTGTGAAAACATTGAGTGAGACTTGACTTGCCAGAGGAGCTGGAACTGTTTCGTCGTACCGTTCCAAGCGTGGAACGGTTGCGGAACCGATTCCGAGAAACGTTCTTGTAGTTTTGGAACCATGTATCTCACAACCCGCACCGGATGACCGGAACTGTTTATTAAGTTTCCTAAACCATAAAGAATACTGACTTCAGCAATAAAACTTCAATAAAACAGCAGTAATAGAATCTTTTTGTTATAGGTTAAATCTCGAAACATTTAAATATTTTTCAAATCAATAAAATATCAAGTATGATTTGGGTCATGATTCATTAAATAAATTAAGTAAATGGTTTTGAAATTGTTAGATGCGTAATGAATATATTTTATAGTAACTCTTAACTCCGTTGCACAAATAGATTTATTTTGATACTATTTGATTGAATAATAATTCTGTAGCAAAATAATGCAATTAGTTCATTAACGTCTTGTATGAAATATTGTGAACTTTAAATACAGTATATCCTTACGTTAATTCCTGTGTAGAATTTGAATAATTCCTGATGGTCTAATAACACAGTAATTATCCTTAATCATAATTAAATTGTATAGAAGAAATTTATAAATCACCAATTACCTGTACTAAGATTTTCGGAACAACATTCGGGGAACCGCTTCAGAGATTGAAACGAAACTGTTAAACCTGAAGTTCAGTCTTCTGTTCTAGGGGCCAGGGTTCTAAAATCCCATAATCAAACCCCCCCTCCAACCGTAGCCCCCCAAATCTCTACCCCCTCCTGATTTTAACATTTTTATGGCCCAACCTCCCGATAACGTTTCAGTTCCTCGGCCTCTCATTTCGTTCCCCACGCGGGTATTTTCTGTCCCAATATCTGTTGTTCCCCAGTACCAGTAAACTACATTGGAACCTCGATAACAAGTCACCATTGATAACCAGTGTAGTTTTCAAATCTCATAAAATTCATTTGTAACCATGTTATTCTAGATTTAGTTAATAAGTAAACCTTGATAACAAGTCTTAATTCCCTGTAGAGTCTTGTTATCGAGGTAGGCCTACCACTGTAAACAAATTGCATTTCCGACATAAGGCCCCGGCAACACGAGGTGGTTTAACCGCGCAATGTTCGACAACACATGTTTGTTAAGCCACTTGATCGACAAGCTATTTGCTCGACATTGGTGTCAGCCACTTATAAAAACAACACAATAAACCACTTACCGGTAAAGACAGTTCACCGTCGGACGAGTTGTTCGACATGGACTGGGACTCCGCATCTTCCATATATCTCGACCACCTTCTTGCATTGTACAGGTTACGCCTGACACACCGGAAAGCCTTTTCACTAAGGGCTTCTTTGGGGTTTTCCACCTCTGATTTCAATATTTTCTCAGGTTTGCAATGCATATCGTCCAGTGCCTTTCTTTTGCAACTGTTCGACACTGCCTGCCTTATGTATTTATCTTCGTCCGCCTCGTGGTTGTGCGTAAAGTCACTGGTTGCAATCTCAATCGTCCCGCCTGAAAAAATAAATTACTTTGTAAACAATTCTACACACTCAATAGTACAACATGAAGTGAAAAGAAATGCAAGTAGATTGAATTCGAAAACATAATAGTAATAGGCTTAATTGTTGATTTAAAAAATTGGCAATCTGTAAAATCTTCCTCAATAGGTCTCTCCATTATAGCGAGCGCAAAGAAGGTAATTTCCGCTCGAGAGCTGTTGATGGTCCACGAAGCCCATATAACTTCGAGAGCGTCAATGATTTTTTTCATGCCACCATAATCAACTTATCATACACACAGATTATCATATTTTTAGTTGTACACGTCTTAGGTTAAGTTTGCTTTTACTGTTGGAATAAAATGCACCCTGAATCGTCTCTTTTAAACATGGAAACCATCTCAAAGTACTAAATCGTGAATGTCGAATAATATTAACTTACTACCACCACTCCTGAGCTATCTACTAAAAGATATTTAACTTAAAAATAAATTTAAATTAGATAAAAACTTCCTTTATATAAACGGCAACAGTGAAATCAGCTGATTTAGCAAGCGGGAATAGTAATTTCCGCTTGCAAACGCGAGCGAGAATGAATATAGCGACGTTGAGCTATTTTGCGTACTGTTTACAGGTGTGGCAATGAGATAATTTCCCTGCAAAATGTTTGTCTTGACTGTACTCTTTCAACCTGACCTCTCTTTCTCTTAATCCCTTCCGTGCGGGTGTAGGTAAACTGCTCCCCCTTGGCCGCATGCATTCGATTTATTTTCACTAAACTATTGAGATTCAGACTAGTTAGAGTTCAATTGTGTAATGGAATATAAGTATGTAAATAATAAGTTGAGGTAACGAGGTGACAAATGAATTACAGCAACCCGTTCATTTTTCCAAACACTATGGCCCAAAGATTGACTTTAGAAAGTAAATCTCGTAAAAAATTAAACACTGCTTAAAATTGTATCACTTCGGAAATAACATATATTGCGTTATCAAATTTGTGTTGCTCTTGAATAATGCACACATTGGCATTCCACTTATAATACTTACGTTCAAGATTTTACGAGTGACTTAAAAAACTTTGATTTCTTATCAATAAAGAACATCACATTTGTAAATATTAAAATTAATCGTTGAAAATTAGACTACACCCTCTTTGTTAACAATATACTTTAAAAAATTGAAAACTCATTATAAAAATATACTAGTTAACAATATAGAAAGAATAACATTTTTAAATATTATAATAAACCCTTGAAAATATTTAAACCCTCTTTATAAACAATAATACTAAATAAAAAAAAAAGTGGGGTATAAAGCTATAGTTTGTTTGATTATTTAAAACTACGCTTAAATCAACCCAAACACAACTTTAACATGCTAAAACAAAAAACAAGTCTGGAATCAATGTCACAGGCTTAAACGAAAAAATAAATAGCTTTACCCACCTTGGGTAAAACATGTTGCCCTGCATCCATGTCTCCGCCGCCTTTCGCAAACCCACTTTACTTTGCCGCTCTTTCTTACTTTATTCTTGATAAATTTAAAACTGTTAACCAACAGCGCACTACCTCCCCGTTGTGTAGCCACTATCTCACTTACTAAGGTATCCATGTTGACACTATATAGCAACAAACTGCCAAATATTGGCCAAAGAGTGTGTAGCGTAAGGGAGTGTAGGGGTTTTGTCAACGGGTATCAGCATGTATCAGGTAGAAAGGGTCCCCATCCGCGACCGTGAGTTCCTCATACTGCGGAGTTTGACCAACGGTTGGGAGCGGTTGGGAGTGGGCGCGAGAGGGGGAGGGAGAGAGAGAGATTATGCGTGACCGTGAGAGTGGGGGAGCAGTTTACCTACACCCGCACGGAAGGGTAAGAGATTAGGTCAGGAAAGAGTACAGTCAAGACAAACATTTTGCACCAGACCAGACGCTTGCTGTGCCATGCACGGGAGAGCAGTTTACCACCTCCCTTTCATCGTGTATAGGCATATGTAACCAAAGTATTGAGACACTTTTAGATCACGTTAGTATGTAGACAGCTATATTCGATTGGGCCACTACTTCAGAGCCCCATTTCCATTAAAGGTTTTGTTCCAACAATGTTCGGAGCAAGTTGATTTGATTATGAGCACAGCTCCCAACAATGTTGGCGCGCTGTTTTCTTTTCAAGAAGTTCGCGCCAATATATACCGCCAACCCCTCCTCACTGCGAGCACCGTGTTTGCCCTCTACACAGTACACTACTAGTAGTACATGTAGTACACTACATCGCACCCTACACCCTACATCGTCGAGGAGAGTGAAGAGACCGCTGCTGCTACTGCTACTGTTGTAATGGCTGGTGTGGAGGTGGCTATGCTGGTGCATGAAAGCGACCGCGGTGGGGGATTGTGGATTTAGCATGCGCGAATTCTGCAATCATTCACAACAATGTTGGCAGCTGGGCACAGTTTCCTAGGTTTTGAGCACACAATAGACCTACGGCTTCCTCATGGGATTGAACCCCCTAGAAATAATTTTGCCCCTAATAATATTTCTATGACCAAGTTATAATTTGTATTTTCTGTTGTAATATTTTTATTGTTTAAAGCTTTATAAGTTTAAGTGCTAAAACGGTTAGTTTCCACAAGAGTTGTCTATAGTGAAAACCTAAGATTCCCTGGCGGAAGAGGAAGAAGTCCTAAAACAGCCTCAGTCCAGTAGGGTTTCAGTTCACTGGAGTACTGGTGGAACGTCACGAAGAACAGATTCCAGCGGTACGTTTTTTACTTGATGTGGACGATGTCAGCAACAGCAATAAACTTTAGGCGATAACCCGCAATAAAAAAGGGACATCTCCGCACCCCAGCGCGCGTTGTTTACAACTTAACTCGCTTGGCAGCAGCACATGTCGACAGTGGCTATATAACCATAACCTACAAATGTAAACTTAGTATTTTTACCTCCCCCATCACAGCAGAAATACTAGGTAAGATAAAGATACTAACTTACCATCAGTAAACACTTTGGCCTGGCATCTCCCTCGTCTTCTTCGCTCGCAAAACCACTTTGTTCTACCGAACTTACATTCCGCCTGTTTGACAAACCTGTAGCTGCCTACTACCAAACACGCCACACCACGGTTACTCTTCACGAAACCAAACTCAACCGACATGTTTACCGTACGAAGTTCCAAGGTGAACTGAGCTGTGGCAGTATTCGCAACGCCACCTTTACGATCTCCCCTAATGGGGCCCTAAGCTCGTTTTACTGTGGCATTAAAGCGGATTATGACGGGTGGGAGGGGAGGGGGGGGGGGTTGGAGAGCAAACCGCCACGAGAGGCTGACGCGCAGTGGCGGGAACCCCCCTCCAGTTTCTCTGTTCAATATGAAATGTGTTGAACCTGAACGTTCATTGTGAGTTGCAGAAATATTCTTAAATTGCAGTGAGTTAGGAAATTGTTTTTGTTTTGTTAAATGAGTGCTTGTGTTATTGCGACTGAAGTTCAGCTAATCTACTGAGACAGCTTAAACTACAAATTAATACAGGGTTATTCAAAATGATTGACCCATTTTTAATGCTTTATAATTTTTATACTATCAAACTTGCCGCTATAAAATACACATCAAACGAAAAAGCAACTCAAAGAGTTTATGCCTTCCAAAGACACATCATTTAACAAAATCGATCCAACAGAACTGTAGATTTAATTGTACAAAGTTAAAAAGTAATCTCCAACTTTTTTTACCACTAGAAATTTGGAGGTTACTTGAGGTTTTTGCAATTAACTTTGAAATGGTGAGGAAATCGACCAAAGTGGAAGGTATTATTCCGAAAGAGAATACAATTTCCTACAATCTACTGATAGGCATTTTTTGAAAATACTCAAGAAAGGTACCAAAAATTGCCTCAAAATGAAAAAAAAAAATTGAAAATCCCCGTCTTCAACATAGCAAACATTAAATTTCACACTTTTTTATTTTAAGCCAAATTTAGGCTACATTTATTGAGTATTTTCAAGATATGCGTAATAGTAGATTGTAGGAAATTTTATTCTCTTTCAGAATAATACCTTCCACTTTGGTCGATTTCATCACCATTTAAAAGTTATTTGCATAAACGTCAAGTAACCTCCAAATTTCTTGTGGTAAAAAAAGTTGGAGATTACTTTTTAACTTTGTACAATTAAATCTACAGTTCTGTTGGATCGATTTTGTTAAATTATGTGTCTTTGGAAGGCATAAACTCTTTGAGTTGCTTTTTCGTTTGATGTGTATTTTATAGCGGTAAGTTTAATAGTATAAAAATTATGAAGCATTAAAAATGGATACATAATTTAGAATAACCCTGTAGTTAAAATCTAAGGCTTACCTTACGAATAGCATAAATTTGATCGTAGTTCAATATATTCAGTGGCTATATTTCCAATTACAATTTTATCTTGTTTGTGACGACTATTGAATTATTTGATCTTAAAGAGTAACTTTTCACGGCCTGTTAGGAGTGAGCGATGTTCAGGGACTAAGCAATGTATTTTTAAATTTTTTATTTGCCTTAAGATCACTGATTCGTTTCAACGAATTTCTAGTCCTAAAAAAATTTAATTTTAAATACAATTATACATCCGATTGATACATAGTTTTGTAATTTTAGTGTGATAAATTAGTAGGAATTTAATTATTTTCCACCCCTCATCGACCTTCCTAACCTTTTCTCTCTCACTCTCTCTCTCTCTCTAAGCCCCAATATAATCTCCCACCCCCATTCACCCTTAATTCTCACCCACGCTACCCTTCCCTTACCATCTCCTTTTTGCTCACTCTCCACTGGGCTCGGGAATAAGCAAAAATCCACTCCACAAATAATAAATCCACAAAAATCCCTACCCTTTGACATAGTAAAAATGCCCCCGCCGCAGCAAACCTGCAGAATAATTTCCATCTGCCTGATTTGATTGTTAATCAAATCTATTTCAATAACATTAGGCTTAGCGAGTACCTAGGCTTGTTGCTATAGGTAGAGTAATTACGTGTGTTTTCTTGTGTGTGTTTTCTTGTGTGTGTTTTCCCGTTCCCATGGTCCAATCATACTGGTTCGCAAACTCCTTGGAATAAACGAATAAACGTAGTTTTAGGGCCTACACGTTTGTACCAAATTTAATAGAAATCGGATAATTTTTCCTAGAGTTATCGTGCTAACGGACACACATAACTAATCGCTCCTATACTGGAAAATAGAAGAAATATTTATGCATACAAAATTTAAAGTAATTTTCAAAATCAATTTATAGAAAAGGCCTACTTTAATAATGATTTCCCACCAAGCAAAAATTGTTGCGTTTATTCTCCTTATTCAGGCATTGTAACACAGTATTTTAGTAAGATGTGTCAAAGACCTTGTATAGTTTTTCGTACACAGTTAGGTCATTTGGGATAAGTACACAAACCGATTAAGCGATACACATTGGGAGAGTATTTATTTTACATAACGCTAAAAAGATCAATTACATGCTGTAGTATTATTTCATACAATATTGTACGTAAATAGCTCGGAAGTGTGTGGGTTTAATGCTGATGTGAAATGCAAATAAATGTGTACATTGCGAACATTATGTTTTAGTATAAGCATTGACTAAGGAAATAAAAAGGTTTTGTTCCCTTGTCTGTGGTACAAGGTTGGTTTTGTGTCACCATGACACCATGACACCATGACGCATCGGCGTCTGCTGTGCGCCGTCAAACGATTTTGGTCGCCAGACAATTGGACCAATTGTCCAATATTGAACAATTCGATGGTGTGAGTGCTCGCCCACACTGACAGTCGAACGACATGGACAGTAGGTCGACGTGCAGTCGTCCACTGCTACTGTGAGCCACGACCACGACTGCCACCCGATTCTCGGAACACAGTGGCATACGTGACAGGAGTTCTTCAACCCAGCACCAACCTTAAAAAAAAAACTCGTCGACCCGGCACTTGTCCTTTCACCCGCAGTATAACAACCCGGCACCCAATATAGATCGATTCCCCAACCACCCCTCACACCCATTCCACCTACACTACTCCCTCCAAATCTCACCTTTCTTTTCTCTCAATCACCTCCCCCCTTTCCGTAAGATGCAGTATATTCACGCTGTCCATGTCCCCAATAACCTCCTTAAAATAATTGGGCACCGAGCTTTACTAAACGAAAATATGAGATCACAATTGAGAAAATCTTTTTATTTGCCTTTACCTTTGCTAGTGGTAGAAATGTTTTCGAGAGTCTGAAGTTCTGTAGTTTTGGGAAGCTTAGTCTTGACTTTGGCACGATACAAATTGTTTCTTATAATTGAAACATCCTGACGTGTGAGCGATGATAATGGTTTATCTAGTTCTTCCGCCACTTTTCGGATCTTTTTCCCAGGTTTCTCCTCATCTTCAACCTTAACCTTCCTCTTCACTGCGTTGCTTACTGCTTTCCGATTGAGCACGTTTACCTCGACCGGGTCGTGATTATGGTGAGACACGATGCGAGAAAATACTTTACCATCTTCAAGCGTGTAAAGTTTTGCGTTACAATGTTTACCACGCGAGCACCGCCAACACTGCTCCGATGTTGATTTTATGTATTTAAAAAATCTAAAAGTATTTTTTTCGTAGACAATAAGGGGTTTCCCCCTCTCACTGTACACTTTTTCCATCGAAACAAATAAATTAAACTAAATAACAGAACCAACGCAACACAAAATATAAGCTTAGTCAAAGTGTCGACTCACTTCGCACTTGTAACTAAAGGAAAGGTGTTGTTGGGTTGGGTTGGATGTTTGGTGTTGTGGAGGGGGGGATTGTGCGTTTACCCGGCACCAAGTGATGAGATGCCTATGCCTAGAATCACAGAAAACATACTACTTTATAGGTTATTAGTAAACCTTCATTCGATTTTTTAACATCAGCAAGTTTGGTCAGTTCGGTTAGGTTATGATAATTAAATTAAATTTAATTAAAATTTAACCTACAAACGATACGTTTTGAGTTTTGACAGTGACGTAGAGCTAACAATTTGCCGCGAACAAGTCAGCATGATCTGTTCGACACCACCCTAAAACTGACAGGTCAACCGACCGTAATTACTGCGAGGGTTACAGCCTCGGTCAAGTGCCTACACCCCAAATTGAAGACTACGTCGTAAATAAAGAAATATAAAAGCAAAAGAATCCGTGCGTCACTTACTTTTGAGTTTTATTGTTCGTCGTCGATGTAGCAAAGACAAATCACTCGGATTTAAGAAGTAAATATTTGTTTGATTTGATCATTTGAAGTCACATGTTTCAACGTAAATAAACATTCTAAGTCTAAATTACTTGCCACGAATATTAGAAAAGAAATCGATATGAATCATAAACATAAACAAATGACGTAACTGGCCCGAATTCTATACAATAAAATTAACATAATCAGGGGTGCCCACAGGGGGCGGGGCTGTGACGCAGACTGCGTCAATGAAATTCTTGGGGGGGTTGCAAAAAATTCAAATGGGGGGGCTAAAGTTAATTGCAACAGTGTTCAACGTGACGACAACCAAAAAAATATTAGGCCTACGAAGTGGATTAATTAATGACAATAGTTATATTATTGAATTAAATTAGTTAAAATAGGATTTTAGGATGGTTTAGGATTCTTGTAGAAAGTTATCATTCAAGATTAGCAAGACGTGAGATCTAAGAGGGAGGGCACGGAATGGCTCAACTACTGTGATAGATGAAAGATAACGCGTGGTACACACGTCCAGCTACACCGCGACTCAGCACAGACCACTTTGTTGAAATAAAGGTCGTTAAAATACAATCAAGTAGCATAGGCTTCAATACTTAACAATTGTTTTATTGTTGTTCATTTAATGCTTTATTAATGTTATTAATTTCATTTAATATTATTGTTACTAGTTTAATTTCTATTACTGTCATTCTTTTAATTGTTTAGCATAGTTAATGCATAGTACAAAACACAAACATTCACTGTTAGGCCGGGCGCGCACTATCCCGACCACGACCACGACCACGACCAAACGCCCGACCAGTGGTTGTCATTCACCATGCGACCAGAGCACGACCCGACCACGACCCGACCAAGGCAACGAATGTTTTACAAACTTCAGTGTCAAGATGATTGTTGAAGAAGTAGTTGTTATGGT